AAGAAGGAAAGGGGGGGAGGAGGAGGAGAGGGAGAGGGAGAAGGAGAGAAAGAAAGGGGGAGAAGCAGAAGGAGGAGAAGCAGAAGAAGAGAAGGAAAGGGGGCAGGAGGTGGAGAAGGAGAGAAGAAAAGGAGGAGGAGGAGGAGGAGGAGAAGGAGAAGAAGGAAAGAGGGAGAAGGAGGAGGAGAGGGAGAAGGAGAGAAGAAAAGGGGGAGGAGAAGGAGAAGAAGGAAAGGGGGAGGAGGAGGAGGAGAGGGAGAGGGAGAAGGAGAAGAAAGAGAGAGGGAGAAGGAGAAGGAGGAGAAGCAGAAGAAGAGAAGGAAAGGGGGCAGGAGGAGAAGCACAACAGCCAGCACCTGCTGAAAAACTACAACTAGTCGTCAATCTATGTCTGCAATGGGATCCAGAATGTCTGTCACTAAGTAACACAGTTGTTAAGTGAGTTGTGTCCCACTTTATATCCTTTTTTAAAAATACCTCTATATGTTAAGTGAATCACACGGTTGTTAAGGAAGTCTGGCTCCCCCCCCCCCTTGGCTTTGCTTGTTGGAAGAGAGTTAGGAAGGCTGCAAATGACAAATAATGTGTCTTCAGGAAGCTGCAACTGTTGTAAATACATGCTGGCTGCCAAGCGTGATTGTGTGAGTGTGGGTTACTGCAGTGTTGTAAGTGCAAGGACCAATCAAAAGTCACTTTTTCTAGTGCTGTTTTAACTTAGAACATTCCCTAAATGAACGGTTGTAAGTCAACCATATAACAGGTTTGTGTAAAGCTCTTGAAAGAATCTGCAAAGCCATTAATGTGAATCAAGTACCGTATCTTGGAAACCCTGAAGCAGCTGCATTAATGAGAATAATTAAAAAGAAGCTCCAAAAGACATGGCAACACTGATGAGAATAACTAAAGAGGAGCTGCAAAAGACATGGCAACATTAATGAGAATAATTAAAGAGAAGCTCCAAAAGACACGGAAACATTGATGAGAATAATTAAAGAGAAGCTGCAAAAGACACAGCAACATTAATGAGAATAATTAAAGAGAAGCTCCAAAAGACACGGCAACATTGATGAAAATAATTAAAGAGGAGTGCCAAAAGACACGGCAACATTGATAAGAATAACTAAAGAGGAGCTCCAAAAGACATGGCAACATTAATGAAAGTAATTAAAGAAGAGATCCAAAAGACATGGCAACATTAATGAGAATAATTAAAGAGAAGCTCCAAAAGACACGGCAACATTGATGAGAATAACTAAAGAGAAGCTCCAAAAGACACGGCAACATTAATGAAAGTAATTAAAGAAGAGATCCAAAAGACACGGCAACATTAATGAGAATAATTAAAGAGAAGCTCCAAAAGACACGGCAATATTAATGAGAATAATTAAAGAGAAGCTGCAAAAGACACGGCAACATTGATGAGAATAACTAAAGAGGAGCTCCAAAAGACACGGAAACATTGATAAGAATAATTAAACAGAAGCTGCAAAAGACACAGCAATATTAATGAGAATAATTAAAGAGAAGCTCCAAAAGACACGGCAACATTGATAAGAATAACTAAAGAGAAGCTCCAAAAGACATGGCAACATTGGTGAGAATATTTAAAGGGGAATTGCAAAAGACACGGCAACATTGATGAGAATAAAGAGTAGCTGCAAAAGACTCGGCAACATTGATGAGAGTAACTAAAGAGGAGCTGCAAAAAACACGGCAACATTGATGAGAATAATTAAAGAGGAGCTCCAAAAGACACGGCAACATTAATGAGAATAATTAAAGAGAAGCTCCAAGCATCCAATCCCAATGGAGGAAGTGCAACAGATTCGCAGCCCTACTGCTGTGCCACTCATCCGTTGTCCTTCTTTGGGTCTCCTCTGGAGCTTGATGTTGCCCCGAGTCCCCCCAGGGAGCTGTGGGGTCTTAGGCAAATCACTCACCTGACCCCCGTACAGGGCACATCTCCGGAGTTTGTCCAATGGCCCAGCAGCGCCCGGAGTCACAACAGCATTGCATCTTGGTATACTGGCCAGGAAGCTCCCCTGCGCACCGTCCACCAATCAGCGCGGAGAAGCAGGTCCCAATTCGTTGGTCTGTGGGCAGAAGAAAGACAGAGGTAAGTCAGGAAATGACCGGACGGGGTACAGGTAGTCCTCGACTTATGACCACAACGGAGTCCAAGATTTATGTCACTAAGTGAGACACTTGTTAAATGCATTTTGCCCCATTTTACAACCTTTCCTGCCACAAGTGGATCGCTGGAGTTGTTAAGCTAGCAACACAGTTGTTTAAGTGAGTCTGGCTTTTCCCATTGACTTTGCTTGTCTGAAGGTCGCAAAAGGGGATCACGTGATCCCGGGACATTGCAACCGTCGTAAATGCGAGTCAGCTGCCAAGGATCTGAATTTCGATCACGATCACATGACCGCAGGGATGCTGCAACGGTCCCAAGTCACTTTTTTCAGGGTCATTGTGAATGCTCACTTATCAATCAATCAATCAATCAAATAAACCCCTTGCATTCACCATGCTGGCTGGGGAAGATGGGAAATGGAGTCCAACATAAACCCAGACAGCCTGCAGCTAGGGGATTTGCGCAAGCAGTCTGAAGGTGAAACTGCATGCAGAGGATCACAGGGTCCCCCCTCCTGCTACGATGGGGGGGGAGCCTCGTGGGGGGGGGCTTTGGGCTTTGGCAGCAGACTGTGACGGAGAGATCTTGGATGGGCCAAAATTCAGGCATGTTTTTTTTTCTCTTTGTATTGAATGAGTAAGATGGTCCTTGACTTATGACCGCAACCGAGGGCAAAATTTCCAGTGCTAAGCCAGACATTTGTGAGTTTTGTCCCGTTTTCTTGCCACAGTTGTTAAGTGAAACACGGCAATTAAGTTAGTCACACGGTTGTTAAAAGGCCGCAAAAGGGGATCACGTGACCCCCGGGACACTGCAACCATCACGAGTACATGCCAGTTGCCAAGCATCCAAAATTTTGACCACGTGACGGTCGTAAGTGTGAAAAACAGTCATAAGTCACTTTTTTTTAGTGCCGTTGTAACTTTGGTCACTGAATGAATGGTTAATAATAATAATAATAATAATAATAATAATAATAATAATAATAATAATAATAATAATAATAAAGTTGGAAGGGACCTTGGAGGTCATCAAGTCCAACCCCCTGCTCAGGCAGGTAACCCTACACCATTTCGGACAAATGGCTGTCCAGTCTCTTCTTAAAAACTTCCAGTGTGAGAGCATTCACCGCTTCTGGAGGCAGGTTGTTCCACTGGTTAATTGTTCTAACTGTCAGGAAGTTTCTCCTTAGTTCTAGGTTGCTTCTCTCTTTGGTTAGTTTCCATCCGTTGCTTCTTGTCCTGCCTTTAGGCTCCTTGGAGAATAGCTTGACTCCCTCTTCTTTGGGGCATCCCCTGAGATATTGGAACATTGCTATCATGTCCCCCCTCATCCTTCTCTTCATTAAACTGGACATATCCAATTCCATCAACCTTTCCTTATATGTTTTAGCCTCCAGTCCCCTAATCCTCTTTGTTGCTCTTCTCTGTACTCTTTCTAGAGTCTCAGCATCTTTTTTACATCGTGGTGACCAAAACTGGATGCCGTATTCCAAGTGTGGCCTTACCAAGGCCTTGTAAAGTGGTATTAACACTTCACATGATCTTGATTCTCTCCCTCTGTTGATGCAGCCCAGCACTGTGTTGGCCTTTTTGGCAGCTGAGCACACGGCTGGCTCATATTTAAGTGACTGTCCACTAGGACTCCGAGGTCCCTCTCACAGTTACTACTATTGAGCAAGGTACCCCCTATACTATACCTGTGCATTTGGTTTTTCTTGCCTAAATGTTGTTATGGGGAGGCCTGCTTGTATTGTCCCCTTGTAACGTGGAGACACCAAGACTTTATTTCCCATTAAGCACTGAGGGGAAAAAAGCATCCGGTTGGGAAGCTGGGATGAGCAGCACGGGCGGACTCTTTCAAAAAAATAAAATAAAATTCAGGCTTGCTTTTGTTTCCCAAAGGGGTCCGTGGGGAAGACCCCCGAAGCGTCAGCGGGGCTTAAGGAACAGGCGGAGGTGGGAAGAATCACCCAGCCGCTCATTCCTCACGGTTAAATAGTTCCTTTATGTGATTTCCTGCAGGCGACGGGCGAAAAAAAATATCGTACGGCGGTCTATCAGGAAAGGCTCCGTTCCTTTTGGAAAAATTGAGCATTTCGAACTATTCCTAGGGGGTCTCCGGCTAACTAATCGGGACCACAAAGATATCTTTAATCCGGCAAAGTTAAGGGATGCTGAGAAGTCCCCCCCAGGTGCTCGGGAACAAAAGACCCTTTCAGTCCAGGCAACGTAAACGCCAAGGGAAAGTTCTTCAAGTTTGGCCAGAAAAAATATTGTCCATCGCAGCTTGAGCGACAGCACATTTACGGCACATGTTTCGCTCCAGGGAAAGGGCCCCGGTGGCATGACGTAGTCCGGCTGGCCACGCCAAGGCCCCCTTGGGGAGGATTCGGTTATTTTTAAAACCTGGCTGGCCTAATTGAAACTGCCCGGCATTTGCTCAACGTTTTGGCAGCCGGGAAAAGAGTTCAGGGGTCCAGATGCTTATACAATTTGCCCCCACCCCATCCTTGCTCCGGGACCGTAATTCTTCCTCTCCGGCTCCTTTGCTTAGACAGAGAGAGAGAGAGAGAGAGAGAGAGAGAGAGAGAGAGAGAGAGAGAGAGAGAGNGAGAGAGAGGGAGGGAGGGAGGGAGAGAGAGAGAGAGAGAGAGAGAGAGAGAGAGAGAGAGAGAGAGAGAGAACGAAAGTGGGAAAGAGAAACACAGAGAGAGAATGAGAGAAAGAAAGAAAGAGGGGGGGAAAAAACAGAGAGAGAGGGAGAGAGAGACCAGGATAGAGAAGGAAAGAGGGAAAGAGAAACAGGGGGGGATTGAGAGAGAGAGAGAAAGAGAAACAGAGACAGGGATAGAGAGAAAGAAAAAAAGGGAGGGAGAGAGAATGAGAAAGAAAGAAAGTGAGAAAGAGAAACAGAGAGAGAGAATGAGAAAAAGAAAGAGAGAAAGAGGGAAAGAGAAACAGAGAGAGGGGAAATAGGGAGAGAGAAAGAAAGAGGAAAGCAGAAGTAGAGAGAGAGGGATAGAGAGAAGAAGAGGGAACGAGAAAGAGGGAGAGAGAGAGAAAGGAGAGAGAGAGAGAGAGAGAAGAGAAAAGCAAGTGATGAATTAATTTTTATTTTAATTGAATGTTACATTCAAGATCCTTGTTTATCGTTTCAGTGCTTCATTGCACATTTTATTCCATGTCTGTAGCCTGTAATCTACCAACCACCTCCATTTCACTTCTTGATCAACTCTGCAACCTTCTTGGTGGGCTCCTTTCCCTGGAGGAATCAGGACAGACCCTGCTTCGTGTTCTCCTCAACATCTCCTGTCTTCAGTTCCCCAAGGGAACAGTCAGTCTGAATAGGGATTTCCCCCACTCTGGTTTGCTCTTATCTTTTTTTTGGGGGGGGGGACTTCTACAGCTTTGGGGATTTCCTAGTGGTGTCCTATCCGAGCACGACCACCCCAGCCAGCTTCTAAGGCCAGAGGAGGGGCAGCCTTTGCAGAGAAGACCAAGTGAACGGGCAAATGAAACACATCACAACAGGAGAAGCTGGACTGACTGCAGCCGTAACTCCTGCTGGCCGGCATCTTTTCCCAATCTTGACCTTTGACCTTTCCCAGCCTCCCCACCAAGATTTGAACCCGGACCGCTTCTCTTTGCAAACAAGACTGGCAAATGTTTGCTCCCAACAGGGCTGAACAGCAAAAGGTCTGGAGGGTTTTTCTACTAGCTGTGCCAATTCTTCAATTCAAAGTAGAAATCTATCTCTCTTTCTCTTTCTCTCTCTCTTTCTGCCTCTCTTTCTCTCTCTCTCTCTCTCTCTTTTTGTCTCTTTCTTTTTCTCTTTCTCCCTCTTTCTTTTTCTCTTTCTCTTTTTGTCTCTCTATCTCTCTCGTTTTCTTTCTCTCTCCCTTTCTTTTTCTTTCTCCATCTCTTTTTCTATTTCTCTTTTTGTCTCTCTCTTTCTGTCTCTCTCTCTCTCTCTTTCTTTTTCTCTATCTCTCTTTCTCTTCCTCTCTTTCTGCCCCCCCTCTGTCTGTCTCTTTCTTTCTCTTTCTCTTTGTCTTTTTCTTTCTCTCTCTTCCTCTCTCTCCCTCCGTCTCTTTCTTTTTCTATTTCTTTTTGTCTCTGTCTTTCTTTCTCTCTCTTTTTCTTTCTGTCTCCCTTTCTTTTTCTCTTTCTCCTTCTCGCTTTCTTTTTCTATTTCTCTTTTTCTCTCTCTTTCTGTCTTTCTCTCTCTCTCTCTCTCTTTTCTCTTTCTCTCTCTTTTTCTTCCTCTTTCTGCCCCCCTCTCTTTCTGTCTCTCTTTCTTTCTCTCTCTTAGTCTTTTTCTTTCTTTTTCTTTCTCTCTTCCTATCTCTCTCTCCCTCCCTCTATTTCTATTTCTTTTTGTCTCTCTCTGTCTCTCTCTCTCTCCCTCTTTCTCTCCTTCTGTCTCTGTGACTCTCTTTCTCTCTCTCTTGCTCTCTAAAGAGTTATCAGAGCTTCATCTAAAAACGTGTCCTATCTTAATCAGGATCAAACCAACCAACTTTTATCTTCCTTCCTTTTCCTTCTGACAAGGTTCTTTAACTGCCACCCTGCGTGGCATCTGCGGGAATTCATTGTATAAGTGGGGTACAGCCCCCCCCTGCACCCCTCAGTGGGACTGCAGAGTCTCATATCAAATTGTAGGTCACATCGCGACCGGCTGAGGGCCTAGGCCAGCCCTGGAACTGATCTTTTTTTCAGATAAAAAAATGCTGCATTTCAATGGTTAGATGCCCTAGACCAGGGGTCTTCAAACTTGGCCCTTTTATGACTTGTGGACTTCAACTCCCAGAATTCCTCAGCCAGCCAAGCTGGCTGAGGGATTCTGGGAGTTGAAGTCCACAAGTCATAAAAGAGCCATGGTTCCCATATGCTGGCTGAGGAATTCTGGGAGCTGAAGTCCACAAGTCATAAAAGGTCCACGTTTGAAGACTCCTGCCCTATACATTGGTATCTGAATAGAGATCCTTTCAACATTCATATTTTACTCTGCTTTAAATCTAGGTGACATCTTAGCACAGATAGTCCTCGGTTCATGGCGACAACTAGTCCAAAATTTCTGTGGCTAAGCCAGGCAGTTGTTAAATGAGTTTTGCCCCATTTTACGACCGTTCTTGCCACACTGGTTAAGTGAATCAACTACAGTGGTTAAGTTAGTGACGTGGTTGTTAAGGGAATCTGCCTTCCCAGAAGGTTGCAAAAGGGGATCACGTGACCCCGGGGGGGAGGGACACTGCGACTGTCGTAAATATGAGACAGTTGCCAAGCGTCCAAATTTTGATCACCTGACTGCGGGGATGCTGCGATGGTCATAAGTCACTTTTCTCAGTGCTGTTGTAACTTCGAACAGTTACTAAATGAATGGTTATAAGTCAAGGACTATATGTATCTTATTCCAGTATCTCAGGGGCTGCCCCAAAGAAGAGGGAGTCAAGCTATTCTCCAAGGCGGCTGAAGGCAGGAGGAGAAGCAACGGATGGAAACTAATCAAGGAGAGAAGCAACCTGGAATTAAGGAGAAACCTCCTGACAGTAAGAACAAATAACCAGTGGAACTGCTTGCCACCAGAAGTTGTGGGTGCTCCATCACTGGAGGTTTTTAAGAAGAGATTGAACAACCATTTGTCTGAAATGGGATAGGGTCTCCTGCTTGAGCAGGGGGTTGGACTAGAAGACCTCCAAGGTCCCTTCCAACTTTGTTATTCTCTTCTCTTCTCTTCTATATTCTATATTTATTCTATTCTATTCTATATATACTGCTCACAAAAATAAAGGGAACATTTTACCATGGAACTGAAGGGGTTTGCGTTCCCTTTATTTTTGTGAGCAGTATATACCGGTATTCTATATTTTGTTTTCTATTCTCTACTCTACTCTACTCTACTCTACTCTACTCTACTCTACTCTACTCTACTCTACTCTACTCTACTCTACTCTACTCTACTCTACTCTACTCTACTCTACTCTACTCTACTTCATTCCATTCCATTCCATTCCATTTATTTTTTTCCAGATAACCGATGCTGCATTTCAATGATTAGATGGCCTAGACCAGGGGTAGGCAACCTTGGCTCTTTTATGACTGGTGGACTTCAACTCCCAGAATTCCTGAGCCAGTTGAAGTCCACGAGTCATAAAAGAGCCAAGATTGCCTACCCCTGGCCCAGACATTGGTATTTGAACATACATCTTTTTTTAACATTCATATTTTGCTGTGTTTTTAATCTAGGCGGAATGTTAATACATGTTGTAAGCCCACGTATGTTACGCCACACGCTAAATAAATAAATTTATTGTTTTAAGCAGCCTGCAAGGACTTGAACTTTGGCAGATGTTTGCTTTTGTCCAACCTCTCTCTCTCTCAAAAAAAAAAGATCTTTGTCCCATCTCAGCCGGGGTGCATTGTTCACCTCTGGCTGATGGGGAGGAAGGGTGGGGTGGGGTGTTTCCAGTTTGGGATCAAGACAGGGAAGGGAAAGCTTAAGGGTGGCTTATCTTCCTTGGGAGCAGCTGCAAGAAAATGGGGAGGGGGGGGGAGGCCATTCCTGGCAGCCCAGCCAATAAAATTACAAAGCAAGCGAGGAAGTCGTTAGAAAAGGAATTTTTCTGGTTAGGACAAGAGGGCGGGGGAGGGAGAAGGCATTTAGCCAAGCCTACATTCCAGATTTTTGTCCCCCCCCCCAATCAACAAAGAAGAGAACAGAAGCTTTATTTGCAAAGGTTTAACTGAGACACACACACCCACCCCACAAAAATCTGGCTCCTTCTGCGTTACTAGAACGGAACTGAACAGAATAATAGGATTGGAAGGGACCTTGGAGGTCATCTAGTCCAACCCCCTGCTCAGTATACCATTTCAGACAAATGGCTGTCCAGTCTCTTCTTGAAAACTTCCAGTGTTGGAGCATCCACAACTTCTGGAGGCAGGTTGTTCCACTGGTTAATTGTTCTAAATGTCAGGAAGTTTCTCCTTAGTTCTAGGTTGCTTCTCTCCTGGATTAGTTTCCATCCGTTGCTTCTTGTCCTGTCTTCAGGCGCCTTGGGGAATAGCCTGACTCCCTCTTCTTTGGGGCAGCCCCTGAGATACTGGAAGGCTGCTATCATGTCCCCCCTCGTGCTTCTTTTCATTAGGTGCACTTTGGCTTGCAAAAATGTGATAATTCCAGAAAGGAAACAGCTGTACGGCTAACTGTGAAATCTGGAAACAGTTAACCCCAAGCGGTTCACTTGAGTGGCCAGGCAACTCCCCACAACAGGGATAGCTGGTTCTCCAAGGTATTTTTTTGGAAGTAGTACTGAGAACCTAGAACTCTAGAGCTGGAAGGGACCTCAGAGGTCTTCTAGTCCAACCCCCTGCACAAGGCAGGAGATCTTATACCATCCCAGTCCAATGACTGCCTGGTCTATTTTTGTAAATGTCCAGGGAAGGAAGGAAGGAAGGAAGGGAGGGAGGGAGGGAGGGAGGGAGGAAGGAAGGAAGGAAGGAACCAAAAGGAGAAATAAAAAGGAGGAAGTAAGGAAGGAAAGAGGGGAGAGAAAAAGAGAAGGGAAATAAGAGATGGAGGGAGCCGGAGAGAAGCAAAAAATGGAGAAAAAGAAGAGAAGGAAGGAGAGAGTAGAGGGAAGGAAGGAAGGAAGGAAGGAAGGAAAGAAAGAAAGAAAGAAAGAAAGAAAGAAAGAAAGAAAGAAAGAAAGAAAGAAAGAAAGAAAGAAAGAAAAAGGTGTGAAGGAAGGAGAGGGAATCAGAATCAGAATAGAGCTGGAAGGGACCTTGGAGGTCTTCTAGTCCAGCCCCCTGCTCAAGCAGGAGAAGAAGGAGGGAAGGAGGGAGAGAATAGCAACAGCGCTCAGACTTATATACCGCTTCACAGCGCTTTCACAGCCCTCTCTAAGCGCTTTGCAGAGTCAGCATATTTGCCCCCAACAATCTGGGTCCTCCTTTCACCGACCTCGGAAGGACGGAAGGCCGAGTCGACCTCGAGCCGGTGAGAGGATCGAACTGCCAAACTGCTGGCAGCCGGCAGTCAGCGAAAGTAGCCTGCAGTACCGCAGTCTAACCACTGCGCCATCACCCCTCTTACCCTTGGGACTCCTTGCCACTTAGAACAGTGAGGCCCAGCCGGGCCGTATTAGCGTCTCGCTTACCCACACAACGGGACCCGTCCGGGCTGGTCATGAAGCCTCGTGGGCAGGCGCAGACGTAGCTGCCCACCGTGTTCGTACACTCTCCGCCGTTGCAAACGCCGGGCGTGCTGCTGCACTCGTCCGCATCTGGGGAGGAGGAGATGGCGGTCAATCGGCTGCGCCTGGCCACAGTTTGGGCTGATAATAAGCCAAGCCACCCCTCCCCAGGAAAGACCCGGCCCTGGGGGGGACAGACCCCCTTGGGGAGCCCAATCTAAGAAGGAGGGAGGAGGGTGAGGAAGGAGGGTGTGCGTTTTATTCAGGCAATACACAAACGTAGCTTAAATAAAGCATCAGCAGATCTCTCTACCTGCTTCTACTTCTATATCTCTATATCTCTATATTTATATCTATACCTATATCTAATTCTATATTTATATCTGTATCTATACATCTATAGGTTATATATATCTCTCTCTCTATATATATATTTACATCTCTATATCTATATCTTTACATTTATATCTATATCTATATATTTATATTTATATCTATACATCTATAGATTATATCTCTCTATAAATATATTTATATCTCTATATCTATACATTTATATCTATATCTATATATTTATATTTATATCTATACATCTATAGATTATATCTCTCTATAAATATATTTATATCTCTATATCTATATCTCTACATTTATATCTACATCTAATTTATATATTTAGATTTATATCTATACATCTATAGATTATATCTCTATCTCTATATCCATATCTATATTTATATCTATATATTCATATTTATATCTATATATTATATCTATCTATATATATCAATATTGATATATCTATATCTATATATTTAGATTTATATCTATATATCTATATCTCTACATTTATCTCTATTTCTATATCTAATCTACATATTTATATTTATATTGCATATCTATATCTATAACTCTATATCACTACATCTATCTCTATCTCTATATCTAGCCTATATATTTATAGTTATCTCTATATCTATTTATATCTATATCTACATTTATCTCTATAACGATATACAATCTATTTATATATTTATATGTATACATCTCTATAGCTATATTTATCTCTGTATCTAATCTAGTTATGCTCAGCTGCCCCGAGCATGTGTAGAGTTTCCCCACCCTCTCCAATCATCTTCGGAGCGATGGCCTCTTTGCAACCACAGGGCACCTCTCTGTCCCTCTGGACAGCCTGGACACCCTCCACGCCCCTCTCCGCTTCCCCCCACCCGAACCCACCCTGGGCCTCCTCACCTTCGCACTTGTGGTTGGTCTCGCTCTGCTTGTGACCGGCCGGGCACTTGCACTCGTAGGAGCCCACCGTGTTGAGGCAGTTGCCCCCTTGGCACAGCCCGGGGATGGCTTGGCACTCGTCCACATCTGCAGGGAGAGAGCAGGACCCCCAGCCCTGAGTCAGCCCACCTGCCCGGGAGAAGAGGGGACAGGGGCCTCGGAGGGCAGGAATGCCATCCAGAAACTCTTCCACCCATCCGCCTGTCTATGGAGGTTCTCCGTCCTCCATTGGTCCTGTTTTTTTCAGGAGGCAACTGGACTTTCTTGGTTTATCTTTGAAGACGTTTCGCTTCTCCTCCAAGAAGCTTCTTCGGCTCTGATTGGATGGTGGGGAAGGGAAGGATTTATACTCCTTGCAGACAGCTGGTCATTTGCCTCCTTTTGGAGAGTCGTTGAGGCCGCTTGGAAGTTTATCTGTGTCCTCAAGGTCACCTGAGGGGTGCACATGGGTGTGGAGCCTTTTATTTGAAGACGTTTCGCTTCTCCTCCAAGAAGCTTCTTCCGTTCTGACCGGATGGTGGGGGAATGGAAGGATTTATACTCCTTGCAGACAGCTGGTCATTTGCATCCTTTTAGAGCAGGGGTGTCAAACTCAATTTCATTGAGGGCCGCATCAGCATTGTGGTTGCCCTGGGGGGCCGGGTGGGTGTGGCCTACTGGGTGGGCATGGATGGAGTGGGTGCAGCCTACTGGGTGGGCATGGCCAGCTCTACATCATTCGCGTCAAGGGTGCCTGTGGGGGCCTGGGAAGGAGTGGGACAGATCTGAGGGTCTCTGGCAGAAAGGGGTGGGACCAGGGCAGAGCCCACCAAGCCGGATAGGTGAAGGAGGCCAGGGCCATTTGCTGGCCACTTCCAGGCGATGGTGCATTTCTTCATTCCCCACAAAGGGTGACCCCTCCCCAGCATGCACCCAGGGGCCGGGGCCAACATGCACCCAGGGGCTGGTTCCCCGCTGTTCCCAGAGGGCCTTGTGGAGCTAAGACTGAATGCATTTTGGCATAGATGGCCACCACAAAATTGTACATGGATCCCGGCCGGCCTGGGCCAGGGCCAAGACAGCAGGGGCCATTCCCTCACTGTTTCCAGGATGGCTTCATGGGCCACATGAAACCCCTTCGCGGGCTGCATCCGGCCCCCGGGCCTTGTGGTTGACATGTCTGTTTTACAGGGTCGTTGAGGCCACTTGGAGGTTTACCTGTCTCCTCAGGGTCACCTGAGTGTGGAGCCTTGGAACTGCTGAGGACACCATCTACCTCCAGTCTACAACACCGTCCTTTCAGCAGTTCCTTTGCACCACTCAGGTGACCCCGAGGACACAGAGAAACCTCCAAGTGGCCTCAACGGCTCTCCAAAAGGATGCAAATGACCAGCTGTCTGCAAGGAATATAAAATCCTTCCATTTCCCTTCCATCCAGTCAGAGCTGAAGAAACTTCTTGGAGGAGAAGCGAAAAGCCTTCCAAAAAACAAGGAAGTCCATTTGACTCCTGAAAAAAAAAACACCTTGGGGACTACCCTTCCCCCTTTCCAACCCTGGGCCCCACATATCCTCTTTCTATGACCCCGATCCAGCCCCAAATTTCTGTTGCAAAGCGAGAACAGCTGTTATGTGAGCTTTGGCTCATTTTACGACCTTTCTTGCCCCCATCATTAAGCGAATCGCTGCGGTTCTTAAGTCAGTAACACGGCTGTTAAGGGAATCTGGAGTAGTAACTGTGAGAGGGATCTCGGAGTCCTAGTGGACAATAACTTAGATATGAGCCAGCCGTGTGCTGCAGCTGCCAAAAAGGCCAACACAGTGCTGGGCTGCATTAACAGAGGGAGAGAATCAAGATCACGTGAAGTGTTAATACCACTTTACAAGGCCTTGGTAAGGCCACACTTGGAATCCTGCATCCAGTTTTGGTCACCACGATGTAAAAAACATGTTGAGACTCCAGGAAGAGTGCAGAGAAGAGCAACAAAGATGATTAGGGGACTGGAGGCTAAAGCAAATAAGGAACGGCTGCTGGAATTGGGGATGTCTAATTTAACGAAGAGAAGGACGAGGGGGGACATGATCGCAGTCTTCCAGTATCTCAGGGGCTGCCCCAAAGAAGAGGGAGTCAAGCTGTTCTCCAAGGTGCCTGAAGGCAGGACAAGAAGCAACGGATGGAAACTAATCAAGGAGAGAAGCAACCTGGAACTAAGGAGAAACTTCCTGACAGTGAGAACAATTAACCAGTGGAACCACCTGCCTCCAGAAGCGGTGAATGCTCCAACACTGGAAGTTTTTAAGAAGAGACTGGACAGCCATTTGTCTGAAATGGTATAGGGTTTCCTGCCTGAGCAGGGGGTTGGACTAGATGACCTCCAAGCTCCCTTCCAACTTTATTATTATTATTATTATGGATCATCGCACAGTCAGCCAGATGTTCAGACTGGATTTGGCATTTTTGTCTACCTATCGAGTCCTTACCCAGGACCTGGGATAGGCAGATGTGGATGTTTGATGGTATTACAGATCTCGTCGCAGGATCGAAGCAGTTCCTAGTAAGGCCGCCTTTTGCAATTGACTAATGGCGAATTTGTCAATGCCGATGATGGTGTTCCAGTGGTGCTCCAGTTGTTTTGGTATTGCACCCAAGGCGCCTATTACTATTGGTACTACCCTTGCTTGCTTTTGCCACAGTCTTTCTATTTCTATTTGTAGGTCTTTGTATTTTGTATTATTATTATTATTATTATTATTATTATTATTATTATTATTATTATTATTATTATTACTACTACTACTACTACTACTACTACTACTACTACTACTACTACTAGCTGTACCTGGCCACGCGTTGCTATGGCTCAGTCTGGTTAAATGGAAAAGAAAGAAAAGAGAAAGCGCACGTTTGTGTCACAGGTGTGACATCTATATAATAGTAGGTATATAAAAATGCGCGCGTATTCGAATGCAACGATGTGTCAAAATTTCAAAGCAATCGGTGAAGAACTTTCAGAGATTTAAGATTTTGAACAAACGAACATTTACATTTTTATTTATATAGATTATTATTACTACTACTACTACTACTACTACTACTACTACTACTACTACTACTACTACTACTTTGCTTGTTGGATGGGGATATCCCATGACCCCTGCAAGCGTCACAAATACGAGACAGCTTTGATCCGGTGGGGAATGCCACAATGGTCGTAAGTGTGAAAACAGGCCGTAAGTCTTTTTTTTTTTTTAGCGCTGCTGTGGCTTCAGTCACTCAATGAACTGTTATAAATCAAGAACTGCCTGTATTGGCCGGAAACTCCTGTTGGAGCTGGCCAGACGATCTGACCTCAAAGAGGGGTAAGGCATCCCTCTTTGTTGGAGCATTCACTGCTTCTGGAGGCAGGTTGTTCCACTGGTTAATTGTTCTAACTGTCAGGAAGTTTCTCCTTAGTTCCAGGTTGCTTCTCTCCTTGATTAGTTTCCATCCGTTGCTTCTCGTCCTCCCTTCAGGCGCTTTGGAGAATAGCTTGACTCCCTTTGTGGCCCTCCAATCTCTTCTTAAAAATCTCCAGTGATGGAGCGCCCACAATTTCTGGTGGCAAGCTGTTCCATTGGTTAATTGTCCTCCCTGTCGGGAAGTTTCTCCTTAATTCCAGGTTGCTTCTCTCCTTGATTAACCAGTGGAACCACCTGCCTCCAGAAGCGGTGAATGCTCCAACGCTGGAAGTTTTTAAGAAGAGACTGGACGGCCATTTGTCTGAAATGGTATAGGATTTCCTGCCTGAGCAGGGGGTTGGACTAGATGACCTCCAAGGTCCCTTCCAACTTTATTATTATTATTACTTGTCTGTCTGATTAGTTTCCACCCATTGCTTCTCGTCCTGCCTTCGTATAGGGCCTCCTGCTTGAGCAGGGGGATGGACTAGAAGACCTCCAAGGTCCCTTCCAGCTCTATTCTGATTGGTCGATTGATATGCACCTTTGTGGCTGCCATCTCAACCTTTTGGACCAGGCACTGCATAGAAAACCCGGCTGTCTCATGCAGAAAAACCACCACTGACCTTGGCAAGCTCCGGTACGGATGTTGGGGATGAACCCGCGGCGGCAGGGGTGGGGCTGGGCCGGACACATCTCGCAGGGGTGGCCCCAGGCACGGCCGATGGTAGCGCAGCACATGGTCTTGGTGCAGACGATGCCGCTCAGCTGCCCTTGGCACATCTGCTTGTTCACCTGGCTGAAGCAGGGCCCCGTCCGGTAATCTAGGAAGGAAAGAAGGGAGGCGGTCAGTGCCAAGGCAGAAATGGGGGTCCCTCGGATGAGTAGACAGACCCCTGAGGGTGCCCGGAGGAGGGTCCGAAGGGGGCTTCCATTAATTTCTATTCTATTCTATTCTATTCTATTCTATTCTATTCTATTCTATTCTATTCTATTCTATTCTATTCATTTAATTTCTATTCTATTCTATTCTTTTAATTTCTATTCTTCTATTCTATTCTATTCATTTAATTTCTATTCTATTCTATTCTATTCTATTCATTTAATTTCTATTCTATTCTATTCATTTAATTTCTATTCTATTCTATTCATTTAATTTTTATTCTATTCATTTAATTTCTATTCTTCTATTCTATTCTATTCTATTCATTTCTTTCTATTCTATTCTATTCATTTAATTTCTATTCTATTCTATTCTATTCATTTAATTTCTATTCTATTCATTTAATTTCTATTCTGTTCTATTCTATTCTATTCATTTAATTTCTATTCTATTCTATTCTATTCTTTTAATTTCTATTCTTCTATTCTATTCTATTCATTTAATTTCTATTCTATTCTATTCTATTCATTTAATTTCTATTCTATTCATTTAATTTCTATTTCTATTCTATTCATTTAATTTCTATTCTATTCATTTAATTTCTATTCTTCTATTCTATTCATTTAATTTCTTTCTATTCTATTCTATTCTATTCATTTAATTTCTATTCTATTCTATTCTATTCTATTCTATTCATTTAATTTCTATTCTATTCTATTCTATTCATTTAATTTCTATTCTATTCTATTCTATTCATTTAATTTCTATTCTATTCTATTCATTTAATTTCTATTCTATTCTATTCATTTAATTTCTATTCTATTCATTTAATTTCTATTCTATTCTATTCATTTAATTTCTATTCTATTCTATTCATTTAATTTCTATTCTATTCTATTCATTTAATTTCTATTCTATTTTATTCTATTCTATTCATTTAATTTCTATTCTATTCTATTCATTTAATTTCTATTCTATTCTATTCCATTCATTTAATTTCTATTCTATTCATTTAATTTCTATTCTATTCTATTCTATTCATTTAATTTCTATTCTATTCTGTTCCTTCTCTTGGAGGGGTCTCCAACTCTTCACCTTCACCCCCCCTCCCCACGGGATTGGGTCAGCGTGGTGACCCACTGAGGTTTCCTGCCTTTGAAACCAATAGAGCAATTAAAAGAAGGAGACCGGCTGAGACCAAAGGAGAGAAGCCACCCACCCCTCAGCATCTGCAAAGAAGATGTGTGTGTGTGTATGCGGGGGGTGGGGGGTCTTGAAGGACAAGAGAGGCATTGTCAGGGTGGGGAAAACATCTTTTCTTAATTTCCTGGCCTCCAGAGAGGCCTGCCTTTCCCACGTTGTGGCCGTCATCCTGGGTTTCAGCAGCCGGTCCAAGGCTCGGGGTGGGGGTGGGGATGCGGCAGCTTGCAGGAATTGGGGGTGGTGGAGGAGGTTTTTCTCTCTTTTTTTAGCAAGGGGTTCCAACTCTGTGTCATCCCTGTGTCAGGGGTTGGGGACATGTGGGAATGTGAAGGAATAGAATAGAATAGAATAGAATAGAATAGAATAGAATAGAATAGAGTAGAGTAGAGTAGAGTAGAGTAGAGTAGAGTAGAGTAGAGTAGAGTAGAGTAGAGTAGAGTAGAGTAGAATTGAATTACAGAGTAGAATTGAATAGAATTACAGAATAGAATAGAGTAGATAGAATAGAATTACAGAATAGAGTAGAGTAGAGTAGAGTAGAGTAGAATAGAATTACAGAATAGAGTAGAGTAGAGTAGAGTAGAGTAGAGTAGAGTAGAGTAGAGTAGGATAGGCCTCAGAGGTCATCTAGTCCAACCCCCTACTCAGACAGGAAACCCTCTACCATTTCAGACAAATGGCCATCCAATCGCTTCTTAAAAACCTCTCTCCTTCCTTCACACCCTTTTCTTTCTACCTTTCTTTTTTTTCCTTCCCTTCCCTCTACTGAGGGAAAATGGAGAAAAAGAAGAGAAGGAAGGAGAGAGTAGAGTCTACTACTCTCTCCTTCCTTCTCTTCTTTTTCTCCATTTTTCCCTTCTCTCCTTCTCCCTCCATCTCTTATTTCCCTTCTCTTTTTCTCTGCCTCTTCTTTCCTCTCCTTCCTTTCTCCCTTCTTTCTTTCTTTCTTTCTTTCTTTCTTTCTTTCTTTCTTTCTTTCTTTCTTTCTTTCTTTCTTTTTCTTTCTTTCTTTCTCTTCCTTCCTTCTTCTTGTAAGAGCCCCGGTGGTGCAGTGGTTAGAATGGAGCATTGCAGGCTAACTCCCTGCCCACTGCCACGAGTTCGATCCTGACCAGCTCAAGGTCGACTCAGCCTTCTGAGGTCCATAAAATGAGGACCCAGATTGTTGGGGGCAAAGATGCTGACTCTGTAAACCGCTTAGACAGGTCTGTAAAAGCATTGTGAAGCGGTATATAAGTCTAAGGGCTACTGCTAGTGCTATTTCAGATAAGTGGCTGTCCAGTCTCTTCTTGAAAACTTCCAGTGTTGGAGCACCCACAACTTCTAGTGGCAAGCCGTTCCACTGGTTAACGGTTCTCACTGTTGGGAAATTTCTTCTTAGTTCTTCTTTCCTTGATTAGTTTCCATCCTTTTGTTTCTTGTCCTGCCTTCAGGGGCTTTTGGAGAATAGCTTGACCCCCTCCTCAAATATTGGAAGACTGTCCTGAGTCCAGGAAGACCCCCGAGTTGCACGTCGAATCTGTCTTGGGTAGCGCAACCCCATCCAGGGTTAATGCCGGCTGGGGAATTCTGGGAGTTGAAGTCCACCCATCCTCAAGTCGGCCAGGGGGGGGAACCTCCCCCCCACCGGAGCCTGAACAGGACCCGCCAGGGAAACCTTCGGGAAGGAGCCAGACGCCCCCTCCTCTTTTCTGAGCTCTGCTCCCAAAATAGATTTGGTGTGGGGGGGGAAGCACGGGGAAGGCAGCAAAATGGACAAAAATAGATTTCCTGATTGAAGTTCCCAGCAAGAGAGGGAGAGCAGCCAATGCTGTCTGCAGTGGGG